ACAGTGAAAGACAAATCCAGAATTAAAAGGAAATCCTTTCACTCTTCATTCTCTGATAAGGAATACAATATCAATTATTTGATTACATGTAACTCTACACATGTTATCAATGTTTTGGAATGTCCATGTCACCTTCAATATATTGGTAGAACAGGAAGGTGTTTGAAAACTAGAATAGGGAATATAAGAAAAGGGTTTAATAAACACAGTGTGTCGAGCCACTTTAAACTAGTACATAATTGTGATCCTAGTTTGCTAACCTTTTATGGAATAGAGATGGTCAAACCCCATTGGAGAGGATCTGATTTAATAAATGAAATTTCAAGAAAAGAAACCATATGGGTTAAATATTGACATCGACCTTAACTGTTTTCTCACAAATTTTTAATATATTATAATATTTTAGTTTTATTTTATATGTTTTGATTGTTAAGACATCATTTGGCCATTAGTTTGTTTAGTAAATAAATTCTTTTTAATTTTTTTATATATATTTATATACATATTTTGTTGTGAGGGTTAGAGTTCTTCTTTATATTTTGACTGGCCCTTTAAATTAGAATATCATGGTTTTTTCCATAGATATATATACCCATATTATTGGTGTGCAATCATAGGGTTTTTATGTTTATATATTTAGTTTTTTTGTATCATTTTTGAATAATATTATTACCCTCCTTACCTTCTGATGTCTCTAATGTGATACTTTGTATTATATTTGTAAACACGGCGATCTGTCATCATTGAATCCTGCTTGCCGCTTGATTCCGTATTGCTGACAGCTGGCCGTTCTAAATGCAGTGCATATTTAATGAGGTTGAGACATCTCACATCTATCCGCTCTGTGAGGACAATGATGACAAAAACACGTAGGGCCGGGCTTGATTGATGTGACGTCATTACGTTTCCCAGTGGTCCACAGTGCATGTGCGTTCGTCTATTGTGTTTGACATGCTATTGATGCTGGTGTCGGCTAGGACACCGTTTGTTGTAAGTGCGATGTGTGCATATTAAACGAATCATTTACTGCACTATGAGCTGTTGTTTTTTCCTGAGTGCCTGGTATAATACCCTATGGATATGGATATGGTGGTGTCTCTAAGAAGTGGATTTTCCTAGTGACACATTGCAGAGTATTGCTCCCAGGATATCGATTTGCTAGCCAAGTATTGGTTTTTGCAGAGTATTGCCACCTGGAGATCAAGTTTTAAAGCCAAGTATTGTTTCATCAGCCTGCTGACCATCGCTCCCAGAGCAATTAGCGCTTTATGCTGATTTATAATATTATCAGCATTTAGCTCTGATGAGTTAATTTAGTATATTTGGTGGTGGATTGTCACCTTTTTTTCAGTGCATTTTTTCACTTTATTGGACTATATTTTTTTGGGACATTTATTCACATATATTTTGTATTTATATATATTTTTTACTAGCGCAGATTGTTTGTTTTTTTGTTTGCACACCTTATGATTATAGGGCTGATTTTGCAGCTGGTAGAATAGATATTGGCCATTTGGCTAATAAGATTTAGATCTTTTTGGTGGCACCATTTATATTTATTTATCATAGGCTATGAAAATGTCTCACACATGCGGTATCTCTGTGCTCAGAAAGAGTAGCAGACTTTCATTTGAGGTATAATTCTAAGCCATGCCTATGATGCGTGTTTAAAATATCTTAATTGACAAAAAAAATACATTTTCATTTCGTCCAAAAACTTGTGGAAAAATTACATTTTCAAAAGAAAATGCCAGAATATATACATTGGAGTGTTTGCTTTCCAAAATGAGGTCATTTTGTGGGTTTCTCCTATCCTGGTACTTTAGAAACTCAAGAAATATGATAGGTAGTCAGGAAATTAGATGCATAAATTATGTATAAATTATGCTTTTTGGATTTTGTGCCACTCTACGCATCTAGGCTGTATCTCCATACTCTGAAGGAATAGCAGAATGTGTTTCGAGGTGTCACTGTTGAAAGGATCTAGATAACCTCCATTTTGTTAATGTACGCCATTTTAAGTATTAAGTTAGGTTTTTGCAGATATATTAGAAGTTTAATGAAACTGTTTTAGTTTGCTCAAGGATTTATCAACAAAAGACAACGTGAAACTTTCTTTGCCCGGCTATTTCTCAGAAAGCTAGCAAAAACAATTTATACCAAGAAATGTATATGTCATGTTTCATGTAGTTAGCTCTTGATGGAAACTTACAAGTTACAGTTTTGAAACTCGCTCCCCCCTCCCTTATTTTTTCTGTATCCTATATAATCTTAGTAATGTCTAATAAACATTGAACATCTCTGAACATAAGCTGCCATTATTTCCGTGTTCAAGGGGTGTTCCCAGAATTCTGCTGATAAACCAGGAATCTCTCCACAGACCGGGGGTCTCTGAGGGGATAAGAAAATCTCCCTTTCAACTGTAAGTATGCTCATGCTGTGTGTGAAAAATAACTTATAAGCTTATTTAATTTCTTCATTTTCCAAAAAGTAGTGACAAAAAATAATGACTTCAAAAACCTCAGCATGCCTAATATACTAAATATACTGTATATGCCTAAATAATATTTATTAAATATCTCAGACTGTCTACTTCCAAAAAAGGGGTCATTTGGTGGGGGGGGGGGGGGGGGGGGATTTGTACTGAATTCACATGTTAAGTCTTCCAGAAATGAGATTTTCAATTTTCAAATATATATATATATATATACATATATATATATATATACATATACTAAATATAGACTAAATAATTTACACCGATGTGCATTATTTTTAACAAAGAAATGTAGCAGCAGGGGCAGACTGACAACTCATGGGGCTCCCGGGCAATAGGGGATCATGGGGCCCCTGTGTCCTTGCCCAAACTCAAAAAAGCCTGTGAAAAAGGTACCAGGGGCATCTCATGGGGCCCCCTACTGACCTTGGGACTTTGGGCAGTGCCCGAGTTTCCAAATGGTCAGTCCGCCCCTGGTAGCAGAATACATTTTGTATAAAGAAATATATTTTTATTTGCAAAATTGTATAACAAAAACTAACCCTTTTTTCTAAATGTTTGGTATTTTTTTGCTTATTTAGCAAAAAATAAAAAGTGGTGATTAAATAATGCCAAAAGAGAGCTCTATCTATCTCAAACAATGATATAAAGTTAATTTTGGTAGTTTTGCATAGCTGAGTAATTGTCCTTCAAAGTGTGACAGCGCTGAAAATTGAAAAATGACCTGGATTGTAAGGAGGTAAAATAGTCTGGTGGTAATACTGCTTTAATGTGATTGTAAACCTAAAAGTTTTTTTTTTTTTAATGACAAACATATCATACTTACCTGCTCTCAGCAATGGTTTTGCACAGAGCAGCCCAGATCTCTTCCCCACTTGCGCTCCTGTCTCCTTCCCAACTTAAATGCCCCCTAGGAAGTCACTTATGTGGACCTGCTTCCAATGCTCGGTCCTCCCCCATAAAAAAAAAAACTTTTAGCTGTTAGAACCACTTTAATTTGCCTGAAACAACAATGTTGTGCCTGAATGTAATGTCTGTGGTGTAACTGGTGTCACAGCCTTAGGCTCCATGTACATGGGACACTTCTGAATGATGGAAACTGACTTCTGGAAAATGTAGGTTAAAAAATGTCTCTTTAGCCACGTTTGCATACCACGTTTATGCGTGTTTATGAGTGTTTGCGTTTAGAAGCGTTTTTTAAAGATAACCTCAGAAGACTTTCCAAAATGCCCAGAATGCACTGAAAAACAGTAAAAAATTAACTATTTCAGACATTTTGAGAGAAATAGAGAGAGCAGAAGCAAAAAGAGCAGTCTTTGTTGAGATTATCTGTCTTTTTTTTGTGGTGTTTGGATGTGTTCCAGCTCATTTCTGTGCAGAAATTATTGTAGCAGTGTCTAACATATTTTCTTTCATGCAAAACCTCAAAGTATGGTGTACCAGGTCCATTTTAGTACTGGGAAAACGCTTTGCATGCATTTTTCATTATGAGAAGGGGAGGGGGGGGGGTGGAGGGGAAAAAAAAAAAAAAAAAAGGCTCTGGACAGCATCTGGAAATAGAAGGAAAAAATTCCAAACGCAAATGCTTATAAACGCGGTTAGCCACCTTTACACGCATTTACAATTGCATTTGAAACGCTGATAAAATCTACTCGTGAATGCACGTTTGGTGCGTTCAAAAAAATTACTGTAAACTCAACTGCCTGTAAACGACGTACATGGACAAGCTCCTAAACGTGAGTTTATCAGCTGCTGTGTACATGGAGTCTCGAGTGAATGTTTGCTAAGTGCCATCTAGTGCCCCCTTGGAATATATAAAATAATGTCAGAGACCCTTTACACTTTTAAATAATAAAATATACTAAGCATACTTGCAGTGATTCTATAACAATAATCAAGCAATTCCTATAGCCACCAATAGCAAAATTGCCAATTATGTGCTAGTCCTTCAGCTACACCATTGTTATAGTGGGGTATAAAGCAGTTTCAACACATTTAATATGAAACCCAAACTGAGATATGGAAACCCCAGCATTAATACTAGAACTACATATGCACATATGATGAAGAAGAAATCCATGCTCCTAGGATGGCATACACATTTTAATCCAACTTTATTTAAAAAGAAAGCAACTAAAATATACTGTGTATGGTGAAAGTGAGTGCTTTAAGTACCCTCTACCTATTTCTAGGGATTTATACTGCTTTGTTTGGATGCAATGTGCAGTGATATCATCACATACAGGGTGTACACACTGGATGCCTTCCCTCCTCTTCCTCTGAGTGGGGAGACTTCTGAGAACCCCTGTCCATAATGGATGTCAGCCAAAGTCTAATGCCCCCCTGAACACAGTGGAAGTTGCAGGTAGACCCCATACAACCTTGTAACCTTGGGATTTTGGATGCAGCTGAAGCCTCTGTTCTATAATTCATATACTATATTTTGTGATCAGGTAGCATAGCTGTTTTAGCATCACTATGGAGTCAAAAACATTCAACTCACCCTTTACTGGTTCTTCACTCAGTTCAGCTAGCTGGCGAAAACAGGCTCCATGACACACAACCAAATAGGTACCAGCGGTCAGTACAATAGCCACAAGGTATTTCTGAAAGGTATGTTAGAAAATATGTTTGGGTTAGTTGTCTGCAACATTATTTCAGTAGATGTATACTTTCAAAGCATTTTGCGGAATCACAAAAATCAAAGTGCTTCTAACTGCCTTTCAGCAGATATGCATAAACAGGCAATGGTATTGGTCAACTATTTTGTTATTTTTATTCTGTTTTTGCTGCAATCCTATGAAAACCTTTGGGGTGTGAAAAAATACAAATAAAAGAAAAATGGTTAATGGATAATCAAGTCACTGGTTTATAGCAAATAAATCTTGTCACCGGACTTTTATATACTTTTAAAGAAGAAGTAAGCCACCAACATAAAACTGAAACTTTTTGGCCTCCTGAAGCATTTGGTCATAATATTAAAGTATGCACAGCATATTGATGTATTTTAGCACACTTATCCAGAAAACATATCCCCTTCACACTCTCCTCCATGGCCAGTGCTTCCTTCTTCCCCAGTCTTCTTCTAGTTTGACTTTTCAGTCATCTTGATTGGTCAGACTGGGATGGCCCAACTCCAGGGCACATTTTTGCACAAAAGAGTGCTGAAACTAAGCACTTAGCTGTGCAAGAACAATTGGTGGTGTACACAAACAGAAAAATGTGCTTACAGGCAATTAGAACCATCTATGCCATAAGAGCCATGCACACTCTCTTCCATCATAAAAAGCCTGTCTATTAGCACTTTAAAAAGGCTTTACTGCTGATTTAATTAATGCTCAAGTCCAATTTTTAGCAGGCTTACTAGACTCAAATGAGTACACAATCTGCATTCTCAGTGATGTCACTGGCCTATAAGGAATGGATAGGGTGCATTCACAGCAATGTCACTGATCACCATGGAAAGCACAGCTGAATTTGTATTGATGTTACTGGTCTCTAGTGAATGGATACACTGTCTACTGAATGGATACACTGCATTATCTGTGAATGTCACATGTCTCTAAGTAGTGGATAGGCTGCATTCTCTGTGGTGTCACTAGTCTTTAGTGAACAGATATAATTGCATTGCTCTCACTGGTCTCTAGTGAATGGATACATACACTGCATTATCTGTGATGTCACAGGTCTCTAAGTAGTGGATAGGCTGCATTCTCTGTGGTGTCACTAGTGGATAGGCTGCATTCTCTGTGGTGTCACTAGTCTTTAGTGAACAGATATAATTGCATTGCTGTCACTGGTCACTTGTGAATGGATACACTGCATTTACATGGCTCCTACTGGTTTCTAGTGAATAGCTAGGCTGAATTCTCAGTGGCATCACTGGTCTCCATTGAATGAACAGGCTGCATTTGTATTGATGCTGCTGATCTTCAGAGAATGCATACACTGCATTCTCAGGGCTGTCACTGATCTCTAGTGAATGGACAGGTTGCATTCTCAGGGGGATCACTGGTCTCTAGTGAACAGGTAGGTTGCATTCCCAGTGATGTCACTGGTGAATAAATAGGCTGCATCCATAGTGGTGTCACTGGTTTCTAATGGGTAGGCAAAAGTCTTACTGTTGTCACTGGTCTGTAATGAATGGGTGGACAAGATTTTTTGAGGTACCACTGATCTCTAGTGAACAGACAGGCTGCATTCTGAGTGCACATAAAATGCAGCATTTACGTCAGTGCTCCCTTGGCATTTCCTTCCTTCTAGAGATTTATGTTTCTAATTTTGGACAAATATACATTATCAATAGTAATTACTCCCGATGAAGTGAATTAATATTCAGAAAACATGTTGAGAGAAAGCCCTCCGTCCCAGTGTATCTATGTGAGAATCACTCTACGACCATTTGGGTGGAAGTAACAGGAAGTCAAAGTAACTCTAATATTATGCCATATGATCTTTGTATAAATTAAGATATACTTTGACAATTGAGATGTACTACAATTATGTGAAATCAGCCATTAGTTTTTTTTTATCATGTCTTCTGTATTAACAAAGTGTAAACATATTTTTTTTTACCATATGGATTTTTTTTGATTGGTGATGTACCTCAAAATATTCCACAAGTTTTGATGGTCTTTCTGTGCTTTCTTTTGATGTCACTGATCTCTAGTAAACAGATACACTGCATTCTTAGTGATTTTACTTGACTCTAGTTAATAAATAGGCTGTATCCATAGTATTATTACTGGTTTCTAATTGGTAGGCTGAATTCTCATGGGTGTCACTGGTGAATGGATTGGCTAAATGTTTAGGCATGTCACTGATCTCTAGTGAACGGACAGGCTTTCTGCATTCTGAGTGCACATAAAATGCAACATTTACATCTTTGCTACTCCCTTGCATAATTTGACTAAATGCCGGATATTTGGCTCAGTTGCTTCATCTTTTTGTGGATGTTACCTTCCTGGTATCTTCCAGTTAATGTGTGTAATAAAGCTGTGCACAAACTTCACATCTATCGTTGAATGTGTTTTGCAATCCTTTATTTACTTCTACTTCCTATACATGGTTACGCCATTAGCAAGTTTATGATAGAATCTAATGCCAATGTGCCATCACTGAACAAATATCCCTGTGTTTATTTGACAGAAAATGGTACCTGTCTAGAGTACTGATCGATGAACAAAGAAGAAAATGTTAGTTCATTATGACAAAACCTCCAATATATACTACAGTGCCTGATCTTTGACTACATTCCCATAACCTAGAATAGTGGCCGAAATTTTCCAGTGTGTTAAGGAGAAGGATACCTACACCTGTGGGTAATAACTGGGTTAATTTACTAAATGAGTAGAGGCTGTTCACTTGGAAAATTAAATGTTAATCAATAAGATGAAACTGTGTTTAATTTAAATACTCGATAATGTGCAAGGGAATAAAAAACAGATGCTTTGCTACTACATGAATATATATATAAACTGAACACAGCATTATCTTATTCACCAGTATTCACGTTGCAAAGTGAACATTGGCGTTGATTTACTACAGGATCGGAACAGGTTCACTTTACAAAGTAAGTTTTCATTTTGCTTAGGTAAGGTAAAATTCACTTTGTCGATTGAACAGCTTCCACTCCTTTCGTAAATCAACCCCAATGAATTTGTCAGTAGTTTCCTACATATTGTAGGTCACTGATATTAATGTACTGAAATACCCAAATAAAGAAATTTGAAACATGACAAGTTAACTTAAAAATACAATACATACATTCCCCAAAAAGGATTCGTTTTCCGTAAATTTATTGTATTTTAATTTTTTAGCACGTAATTTAAGAAATTGGTCTCATCGGGAGATTTAATCTGGGAAACCTTTTTCAGCATATATTTCTTGCACAGATATATCTTTCCTGAACACATCCAATACCTGCATTTTTTATACCCGACTTTTAGCTTTTTGTTCACTATTAACATACAAAGATGGTGAACAATATTGGCCATTAATGTGTATTTGTGATATAAAAAAAAAAAGATTATAAGACTAAATCCGTCAAAAAGACATCAAAAATAAAATAAAAAGAAAGCAATAAACAAGCTCAAATAGTCTATATTATACAGTATATGTATTGTAGTAAGCATTTTATTTTTTATTATTATTGTTCTTATTATATTTTATCATCATCAAATATATTATTATTATTATTATTATATTAATAATAAAATATTTTATTATATCACATTACTTCATTCTTTATTAGAAGAGAGAGCAAAAACTTACCATCCTGAGAGGTTCTTCAGATACTGAGTACAGTCAACTTTGGATGTGTTATTTAAACTCTTTTGAGGCTATTTTGCGACATGACACTGGAATGTCCAAGATAAACAAATGCCGAACTGTTAACATCTGTCCAGACTATTTTGCCTTTTCACTTGCCAAAGTTTGCAGCATTCCTGACCATCTACAATATTTGCATGTGTACTTATTTAGCTATATCATTTTACTTCAAGTTTACTGGAAGGTCCAATAAGAGGTCTTAATGCAAAAACAAAGATTTCTGAATAATACAGTAATAAAAGTACAAAAGTACAACAAATAAGGTCTTGCAAATAACAGTAATGTTAAAATACAAATAACCAAATGCCTCCAACAAGATTCTGCCCACAAAACATTTATTCTCATTTATATCTGTGCTCAAACAACTATACACACTTATGTCAACCATCAAATATACAGTTGTGCTCAAAAGTTTGCTTATCCTGTGGCTTTGTGTTGAAATTGTGAAATTTTGGCATTGATACCGAAAAAACGACCATGTCTTTTATCTAAGGACAGGAATCATATGAAGCCATTTATTATCACATAGTTGTTTGGCTTCTTTTTAAATCATAATGATAACAGAAATCACTCAAATGGCCCTGATCAAAAGTTTACATACCCTGGAATGTTTGGCCTTGGTACAAGCACACAAGTTGACACAATGGTTAATATGACAATTAAAGGTTTATTGCCCATATCTTTGGATTTTTAAACATTGCCATTAGTGTCTGTGTATAAATAGTCAATGGGTTTCTTAGCTCTCACATGGATGCACTGAGCAGGTTGGATACTGAGCCGTGGGGAGCAGAAAGGAACTGCTAAAACAAGGTAGCAAGGTAATGGAACTTTATAAAGATGGAAAAGGATATAAAAAGCTAACAAAAGCCTTGGATATGCCAGTCAGTACTGTTCAATCACTTATTAAGAAATGGGAAATTCGGGATCTCTTAATACCAAGGTTTTAGTTATATTCAATAGCGGCCAACATAAAGTTCAAATTCCAAACACACAAAACATCCAGCAAAAAGTTCTAAAAGTTCTCAAGGATTTCCCATATATACTGGTGATATCTTCATATTGTCCACCAATTCCCAATTTTCCTCAAACCGATTTCTCCTCTTCCACTCTTAGTACCTCAAAAAAATAGATTAGCTACACATAGTGCATTATCCTTAAAATATAACGCAAATACTGGTGATGTGCTCACATCGAAATGTTCAAAGCACGTGCCCCCAGTGATCATGCTTTCATCCAGTGACTGTAATTCTTACCCTTACCCTGAGTAGGTAGATAA